TAGGTACCCAGAGACCATGCCTTTCAAAGCAAATTGGAAACGTACCATTTTCTTCCTTTCAGATGCATGGCGTCTCAACTTCGTTTCTTGTGAACCTTTGCACATCGAAGTGTTTTGTATCCAAGCGCACTACTTCGTAAATCGTGCCTTCAATATCACAATGATGAGGATTGTCACAATTACGTGTACGCGAAAAACAAAGCTTTGTTTATTGTTTTCTTTAGCTAAATCCAGCCTTCAGATTTGCCGATGACGATCTGCATTCAATAGCTAAGTGATTCTGAAATATCCTCTTTAAATACCTTCAAATCCTTCTGACTATTCTCCTAAAAAAAACCCTAAAATTCTGCGAAAAAGTTTCGAACTTTCCTTTTGCAAACCAAGTTTGAGGTTTTCGCCATTTTCACATCACTTCACTTGATCTTCTCAATTCCTTCTACCTAAAAGAAAATGTCGGCATCCTCTAACAGGGTTCCTATGTCTTCTGCAAATTCATCCTACAATCTTCCTTTAACTAGAATGCGCAGCCAGGGTGAATGTCAAGTTTTCGTGAAGCACCGTCAAGACCTCCTAAACAAATGTAAAGTATGGTGGGAAGAAGACTATAATACTTCTCTCCTCAAGCCTAACGACCCACGTCGCCCTTGCACTACAATCCACCCATGATATCTTGATTTGGGTCTAAGATTTCCTATTCCAGACTGTTAAAGGGCATCTTGGTCAGCTACAACATGGCATCAGCAACTTACCCATGCTGCTCTCAAGCTCATTACTTGCTTCGAATTGCTAAATCAATGGTACGAGGCTGAACTTAATATGCCAAAATTTTGTATGCTATATAGTGTGCGAATGAGCTCCGACGAGCATTACTTTTTTCATCCAAGACACGGTGTCCTGTGGTCGTCCTATATTCTCGATGTGCCATGGTAATACAAAGATTGGTATATGAACGCCTTAGTTATGGACGGCGACTAGGAATGAGATATCTTTGACATTCAAGTCAGGGATGCCCACTGCTAGTGTTTCACTCAAAAAATGACCTATAAAGTATTAGGCTTTGTCATCTAGTATTGATACTGCGAGCCTTCCAAGTTCGTGCGGAGAACTGTACTTAGATGTGGCAAACTTCTCCCACACGCTTCAAGGAATGTGTGAGAGACATGATCTTTAAGCACTACTCCAAGTCTCCAATTCCGGATCCATACTGGATTGATGAAAAGAAAGTACACATGAGAGTCCATACAGTCAAATCCATCACCCTAGCATCCCTAGATAAGATAAAATGAAAACGTTCCAACGTCATGCCCTTTAAGCCTTTGGGAGGGTCATCCCAGAAGAAGTTAGTATTGGTGGAGGGGGAAAGTCGAAGTACACTTGTAAACTTAGAGGCAAAAGAAAAGGAAAAGGTTCATCTAATTTGAAGAAAAAGACCGCATTCTGCTCCGTGATCCATCATAGAAAGAACTCTGTTTCTTCAAGTCGTCATTGATAATCCTCCTACTTCCCCTCATCAATCATCTCTGCAATTGTCACCACGTCTTTCCTCCTCTCCTTCATCTCTGGATGAGACTCAGCCAATTCTTCATGTCTCAGAGGTTTTGTTTTTGCCACTCTGTAGGCACATTAGAGTCAAGGATTAAACTTTTTCCTCCACACCTATTCCCACTCCGCCTTTATCTCACCAGTGTCCCAAAATCCACCAAGTCTTTCACTGGCGGTCGTCGAGCTGGTGGTATTTCAAAATTGCTTTGCCTTAGTTTGAGCGAACGACTTATCCCCCCTCATGGCTTGGTCACCTTTGGATCGTGTCGCGTTGCCGGCAAATTCTTCTGGTTTCTATAATGTCGATCATGCCCAAACTCTTCTTCAGGCCATAAATGCCCCAACAGACAACAAAGAAGTTTGCACATCATTCGAATACCTCATCTTGAGGTGTAATGAAGGTCGTTATGCAGTAAGTAATTCCCTTGCCTTAGCCTCCTGACTGGATAATTCAGGTTGTATTCTCCTGATACATTTCATTTGAACAAGCTCATGTTTGGAAAAAGGCGACTTTCCGGCACCAAATGGAGTAGATTTGACACTTAGAGGTTCCCTAGCTGAATGGATCGGGGCAACTGCACGCGTTGTTGGCGTACCTGGAAAAAGTACGTATAGAACTGTAGAAACCATGGACGGAACATCATTCCCTAGCGGAGATGCACACAGTAGTGGCATGGAAGGCAAGGGCGATCAATCTTGAAGTCGTATTTGCCAAGGTCAAAGGAGAATTAGGGCAGAAGCTCGAATTAGGTCTGAGGTGTAGCGAGTCTTATATTTGAAGCGGATCTCCTGGGAAACAGAGCGAACAATGCTACACTCAGAGGTGGACTAGCTGCATCTGAGATAGAGCAGAAGGAAGATGCAAACATGGCGGCTCTTCAATTAGCCAAAGATGAGAATAAGGCAAACGTTGAAGGGTTGTGTACATCGTTCATGGCGGTGTCTTTCCTGCAGTACTTTGAATACTATGACTTTAGTTTCTTAACAGGTTACGATGGGCAAGGCCATCACGAAGGTTGGGATCCTCATCGAATCTTAGTGAATATCAAAAGAGCTAACCTTAACGCCCTTGAGCATTTGAGGAGTAACTTCATGGAGACGTCTGTCGATGAGGACTCTAGTCCAGATGATCCAACTGGTGAGGCTATTGCAGCTGATGATAAATGGAAGTTGGTAATGGTGGAGCCTAACTCCAAGGGGCAATGCAATTGAATGATTTTTCTTGCATTCAGATACTAAGCCGGCTAAGAAAAGGCAATGTCCTTCCATAACTTTCCTAATCATCTTTCCCCTTATCATGGAACTTGGGCTTCTGCATTTTATTAAACAGGCTTGCTTGCTTTTATTGCATCTTTTTGTTTTGGTGAAATGATTCTGCCTAAGTGTTTGAGCCTGTCTGGGAAAAATTCTCTAGGATTCTTCACTCTGTGTTTCCATACAATGGGTGCACTTTAGTTTGTTGATCTTTTCAGAGTAGGCTAACTCCGAAGTAACGGGCACTAAGGTAAACCACGAGTAAGTTTGCGTGCCTGGGACAGAGCTTAATACTCCACTATGTAGCTTTGATTCAGGAAAACGCTACCTCCCAAATGTAGTGTTTATAAATATTTCCATCGTAATAGTCGGAGTACCACTTATTTCAACCTCTGGCCTTTGGCCCATGAAAAACATTCTTGCCCTAGACTCACTTTTGCACCGATTAGACTAAAGGTGAGGATTCGTTAGATAATACATGTAACATCCTCCGAGTTATTAAGGTCTTTTACTTCGAGTTAGTCCAATTGTCAAGTCTTCGTGCGTTTGTTTGTTCACCTTGTTCCATTCCAATTCTGATGATTTAGATATTGCAATGTGTAACTAAGAAAGGGCTTTCTTCTCAATCCGGATTAGCGGTCCATCCTTAGTGAATCTTAAACGAAAGTTCGTTAGGGACTTGATCGCTTGCATGTGGGTTAGAAACACTTTTGAAATGCTTTTGTTAGACCCTATGCAGTGGACCTGAGCGTCTCTGATCGGACTACACTTACTTAACTTGGCTAAATCACTTCCGCGTATAAAAGCTCCATTGGAATAAAATTCTTCCTGAGGATTTCCTTGTTTGGATGCCTTCTTCAAACTTGCTTAACACATAGGGTTGCAGAACTTACTTGATTAAGTATGCTAGTCTGGGATAGAAGTGATCGTACTCGAGGTCGGGAATCAAAGCCACCCCTCATATGATTTCTGAATTGCCCTTTTGATCAATCTCTCGAATGACATAGAGCCTGGGTTTGAATGTCATAACCCACATCCTTCACGTTGCATAATCTTCCGGGAGCCGGATGGTGCACTAGGCTTCCGAGTCAAGGGCCATGTCCCCGTGCTTGTAGTCCGTCAATCGTAATCACGCTTATTACGGTCCGAGTTTCCAAGATGCTAACCAAACAATACGGAGTGGGCTAAAGGAGACTCCTTTAACACTTTCACTTTGAATTTTTAGACTTGCAATTACGTGAAGTTTCAAAGTTACAAGTCATGAAGAAGTTGAAAAGATGGATTTACAGCAAGCCATATGCATGTAGGTCATGTGGACAAAAAGGCCATACTTCAAAGGTTATATCTTAAGACTATTTTAAGCAGCTGAACTCACGAAATTGTACTAGAAGTGAAAAAATTAAACGCTTATGATTATGAATATTCTAGAATGAAAATATGTTATTTGGAAGTGGGAGAATGAACTCATCATTAAGAAAGAATGCAAGTATTATATTGTTTGAGCTATGTTAAGCTAAAAATTTTGATTTTTATTCAAATTCTAAGTTTATTTCTCACTCAAAAAAAGAGTGATATTAATTATTTATTATTACATTTTTTACCTTGCGTCTTCCTTGTGCGCATCCCAACTCTTTGGAATTCCCACTACCTAACCCGTTGCCAGAATTCTCATAAGAGATTAACCATAATGAAAAACGCAAGCTCCAAAAGAAAGTGTCATTTAAATTAAAGGGGTTGATTTTATAGTGAAGCAGTCTATGTCACAATTGGTACGTGCCTCAAGCCAATGGCCAAGCATAACCGAGTATTAAACTCACCTCAAATCGATGTTCACATATATCTTATTGGGGAAGTACTTAATTATTGATGCTCAACGTACTAATTATGGATATGTATAAATTCGTCGACAGTAGTTGTATGGTCGAATATTTTTTAATTAATTTGTTAACAAAGTATGGAGATTCATGCACTCCCCTACCTCCTCTCGATCGTTGTATTTTATGGTACTTCAAGTTCACAAATGATCGTGACTTAGTTTACAAGCTTGGGTTCTTGCATATTAGACTGCATTGTTGGTTATGCCAAAAACCCTGAGTATTGAAATTCTACTTAAATTTATTAAGATTAGAATAACATACAAGAAGATTCAAAATACAAGCCCATTATTGAACTAAAATTAACATGAAATACTATTGGTTCACGCTACCAATTTATTAAAAGTCCCCATGCATGCATGCATGCATACGAGAAATTAAAGTGAGTGGGTACAAATGCACCAACTCAGACATTTTCTAAAGTGAGTATTCCTTCAACAATTGGGAAAATGCCGCTGCCAGTTGAGATCATTGAAACACATCCGTTCCATGTGTCCTTATGGTAGAACCGAGACCGAGTAGCACACAAGAGTTTATTGACTTCGACCCAAGTTGCTTCATTGTTAAAGTGGTTAGTTTTGCGAATCTCCGTGTAGACCTGCACACGCACATACGCATTGTAAAGGAATGAGGATGGTCATGAGATAACCGCGCTCATACCTGAAAAATCATTGTGAGATGACTCAAATCTCTACAAATCTGTTCATTATAAGTAAATATGCTCTGAGATATATCAAATGCGTTCGATTTCGAATATGTATATACATGTAAAATCACTACTTACCCTGTTGTCCCATTTAACCCTGTCCTCCGGGTTGGCCCAACTCAGCATCCAGTCGCAGTTCGTACCACCAGCGTTCTTGCCGCGATACACTACAGCGGCAGAAGAGCCCCATTGAACTCTGACGTGCAGAAACGCAGCCCACTGGCCATTTGCAATAAGTGGTGGGTATGGGGACTTTCCCATGAGGCCAATCCAATCTTTTTGACCAACATATTCTAGAGTGCTTCCCGTAGCATTGTAAACAAGGCAGAGAGTGGCGATTCCGGCACCGGATTCTGCCTTGAATTTTTCCACACGTGCTCGCGCTTTCGCGTCCTTCCCCGCCGCATTTTTCATATTCATGGCCACGCGTGCCCTGTCGATTCTTTCAATTTGCTCCCGCCTACATGCATACTCTCGCATGCCCTCCAAAGTTGCGTTTGTGATGGGTTCGCCAAACACGTTATCTGCCATCTCTCTCAAAATCAAGACTCAACTGATTAATTCTCTACCTCCCTCCGTCTGTACATTTTCATCCTATAGACATGCATATATATACACACACACACATACACACAGATATATATACAATGTCAAATACAAATATATTATTTATTATTAAATAAATAATATAATTATTATAAATATTATCTCTATTAATTAATAAAACTCTCTTTGTCAACCAAAAGAGGATGAAAATACAATTTAGTCTTCTATCACACAAAAAAATGATGGGCAATAATGTAATTTCACAGGTCTAAATTTTACTGTTTTTTATTGAAATCTCACCTACAGATGATGTTAAAATATCTCTAATATTTAAAAAATAAATAAAAATAAAAACCAAAAACCAAAAACAAAAATCTCCTACTCCCCCACGTTCTCTCTCTCTCTCTCTCTCTCTATATCTCTTCTTCTCATTTTCTAAAAAAAATGTGTTCATACACACAGTGTGCAGGCAAATGCTAGTAATGAATAAGGATAAGTTATCTTGTTAAATTATCAAATGTTACCATTCATTTCCTAGTTTTCATAATTATTCTAATTAAATCAATTAGAAATCAACAAATAGTAAGTGGACCTACAGTACAAAAAAACCCACTCGCGAGATGAAAACAACTTGCTTCCTAAAGCAGGCGTTCGTCGCCTAGGTTCTAAGATAACAGACATGGATAGTAATTTAATCTGTTAAATTCAATTCCTATAGGTACTGATTAGAATAGCTTGGTTTTGGGCATTAAATTTCGAGTATTTTATAGTTATGAGTAACCATCGGGTAAATTTTTCGATTCCAGGATTCGGTTATAGTTATTGGCGTATCCATCCCAAACCTATTCCCGAAATCGTACCATTTTTATTTTTAAATAATATATAAATATTTAGTATATAGAGAAACAAATTATCAGTAATCATGCATTAATAAATATGGATGTCTACGCTAGTAATTGTATTCATTATATTAATAATAATATAAGTTATATGCTTATCAATTATTAGTAGTATAATATTTTTATTGATAATATAAATAGTTAATATTATTTATTAACACTTTAATATAATTTATTATATGCATTGTATCAGTATTCAGTAGTATATTTAATCTTATTTATTTTTATTTAATGCCCACAATTTAATTAATAATGTAAATAAATATAAAAAATTTAGGGTGCTACTAGACCCACTCCATTGTCTTATTTTATAGTTATGAGTAACCATCGGGTAAATTTTTCGATTCTAGGTTCGGTTATAGTTATTGGCGTATCCACCCCAAACCTATTCTCGAAATCGTACCATTTTCATTTTTAAATAATATATAAATATTTAGTATATAGAGAAACAAATTATCAGTAATCATGCATTATTAAATATGGATGTCTACGCTAGTAATTGTATTCATTATATTAATAATAATATAAGTTATATGCTTATCAATTATTAGTAGTATAATATTTTTATTGATAATATAAATAGTTAATATTATTTATTAACACTTTAATATAATTTATTATATGCATTGTATCGGTATTCAGTAGTATATTTAATCTTATTTATTTTTATTTAATGCCCACAATTTAATTAATAATGTAAATAAATATAAAAAATTTAGGGTGCTACTAGACCCACCCCATTGTCTTATTTCCTCACACACCTTATAATTTGACCTACTATAAAAAGTTAAAAAATTGAAATGTTATTTCTTCATCCACTTTTATTCCTAAAATATCCTCTAATTTATATCTAAACTCATTCTATTTTAATTTATCAGAATGTCATCACCCTAGACGCACCACCCACTCAAAACATCACCCCACCCCCGTCAGCAACCAAAACCCTTGACACCTGCTTGGTGGCATCTCTTTGGGAAGAGAGAAAAACAGGAGAGGGAAGTAGAGAGAGAAACGAGAAGTTTTTTACCTTGCGTCTTCCTTGTTCGCATCCCAACTCTTTGGAATTCCCAGTACCTAACCCGTTGCCAGAATTCTCATAAGAGATTAACCATAATGCAAAACGCAAGCTCCAAAAGAAAGTGTCATTTAAATTAAAGGGTTGATTTTATAGTGAAGCAGGCTATCATAGTCACAAGTGGTACGTGCCTCAAGCCAATGGCCAAGCATAACCGAGTATTAAACTCACCTCAACTCGATGTTCACATATATCTTATTGGGGAAGTACTTAATTATTGATGCTCAACGTACTAATTATGGATATGTATAAATTCGTCGACAGTAGTTGTATGGTCGAATATTTTTTAATTAATTTGTTAACAAAGTATGGAGATTCATGCACTCCCCTACCTCCTCTCGATCGTTGTATTTTATGGTACTTCAAGTTCACAAATGATCGTGACTTAGTTTACAAGCTTGGGTTCTTGCATATTAGACTGCATTTGTTGACTATGCCAAAAACCCTGAGTATTGAAATTCTACTTAAATTTATTAAGATTAGAATAACATTCAAGAAGATTCAAAATACAAGCCATTATTGAATTAAAATTAACATGAAATACTGTTGGTTCACACTACCAATTTATTAAAAGTCCCCATGCATGCATGCATGCATACGAGAAATTAAAGTGCGTGGGTACAAATGCACCAACTCAGACATTTTCTAAAGTGAGTATTCCTTCAACAATTGGGAAAATGCCGCTGCCAGTTGAGATCATTGAGACACATCCGTTCCATGTGTCCTTATGGTAGAACCGAGACCGAGTAGCACACAAGCGTTTGTTGACTTCGCCCCAAGTTGCTTCATTGTTAAAGTGGTTAGTTTTGCGAACCTCCGTGTAGACCTGCACACGCACATACGCATTGTAAAGGAATGAGGATGGTCATGAGATAACCGCGCTCATACCTGATAAATCATTGTGAGATGACTCAAATCTCTACAAATCTGTTCATTATAAGTAAATATGCTCTGAGATATATCAAATGCGTTCGATTTCGAATATGTATATACATGTAAAATCACTACTTACCCTGTTGTCCCATTTAACCCTGTCCTTCGGGTTGGCCCAACTCAGCATCCAGTCGCAGTTGGTACCACCAGCGTTCTTGCCGCGATACACTACAGCGGCAGAAGAGCCCCATTGAACTCTGACGTGCAGAAACGCAGCCCACTGGCCATTTGCAATAAGTGGTGGGTATGGGGACTTTCCCATGAGGCCAATCCAATCTTTTTGACCAACATATTCTAGAGTGCTTCCCGTAGCATTGTAAACAAGGCAGAGAGTGGCGATTCCGGCACCGGATTCTGCCTTCAATTTTTCCACATGTGCTCGCGCTTTCGCGTCCTTCCCCGCCGCGTTTTTCATATTCATGGCCACGCGTGCCCTGTCGATCCTTTCAATTTGCCCCCGCCTACATGCATACTCTCGCATGCCCTCCAAAGTTGCGTTTGTGATGGGTTCGCCAAACACGTTATCTGCCATCTCTCTCAAATTCAAGACTCAACTGATTAATTCTCTACCTCCCTCCGTCTGTACATTTTCATCCTATATACATGCATATATACACACACACACAAATACACACAGATATATATATATATACAATGTCATATACAAATATATTATTCATTATTAAATAAATAATATAATTATTAAAATATTATCTCTATTAATTAATGAAACTCTTTTTGTCAACCAAAAGAGGATGAAAATACAATTTAGTCTTCGATTGCATAAAAAAATGATGGGCAATAATGTAATTTCACAGGTCTAAATTTTACTGTTTTTTATTGAAGCCTCACCTGCAGGTGATGTTAAAATATCTCTAATATTTAAAATAAAATAAAATAAAAAAACCCAAAACTAAAAACTAAAAACTAAAAACAAAAACCTCCTACTCCCCCCACGTTCTCTCTCTCTCTCTCTTCTTCTTCTAATTTTCTAAAAAAATGTGTTCATACACACAAAGTGTGTAGGCAAATGCTAGTAATGAATAGGGATAAGTAATCTTGTTAAATTATCAAATGTTACCTTTCATTTCCTAGTTTTCATAATTATTCTAATTAAATCAATTTGAAATCAACAGATAGTAAGTGGACCTACAGTACAAAAAAACCCACTCTCGAGATGAAAACAACTTGCTTCCTAAAGCAGGCGTTCGTCGCCTAGGTTCTAAGATGACAGATATGGATAGTAATTTAACTTGTCAAATTCGATTCCTATAGGTACTGATTAGAACCGTTCAGTTTTGAGCATTAAATTTCGAGTATTTTATAGTTATGAGTAACCGTCGGGTAAATTTTTCGATTCCGGGTTCGGTTATATTTATTGACGTATCCACCCCAAACCTATTCCCGAAATCGGACCATTTTCATTTTTAAATAATATATAAATTTTTAGTATATAGAGAAACAAATTATCATTAATCATGCATTATTAAATACGGATGTCTACGCTAGTAATTGTATTCATTATATTAATAATAATATAAGTTATATGCATATCAATTATTAGTAGTATAATATTTTTATTGATAATATAAATAGTTAATATTATTTATTAGTGCTTTAATATAATTTATTATATGCATTGTATCAGTATTCAGTAGTATATTTAATCTTATTTATTTTTATTTAATGCCCACAATTTAATTAATAATGTAAATAAATATAAAAAATTTAGGGTGCTACTAGACCCACCTCATTGTCTTATTTCCTCACACACCTTATAATTTGACCTACTATAAAAAGTTAAAAAATTGAAATGTTATTTCTTCATCCATTGTTATTCCTAAAATATCCTCTAATTTATATCTAAACTCATTCTATTTTAATTTATCAGAATGTCATCACCCTAGCCGCACCACCCCCTCAAAACGTCAGCCACCCCCGTCAGCAACCAAAACCCTTGACACCTGCTTGGTGGCATCTCCTTTGGGAAAAGAGAAAAACAGGAGAGGGAAGTAGAGAGAAACAAGAAGGCACATCATCCCTTCTTCGTTGGTGGATGTGGGATGTTGCCCACCTCCATAGAGCACGAGGCCTT